TTCAGATTACTCTGCAAGATAGTCTTCTAACCGAGCTTCCTACAATCTTGCCACTCTTCGTTGGAAGCCTTCCCAATTCCTTTCTTGTCATCCAATGCCACGTCATTGCAGTAAATGATACATACTTTCGTGGGCTAGCATCCTCAGAACTCGACTCACCTCTAAACTCTTCGAATTGGCCTCCAAAGGTTGATACCCACGCTGCCTCCCAAACTTAGTGAAAATCTGACAGTTTTCCAGTTTCAGCGGAGGGTTTTGAGAAGCTTGAAAATTACTCTCCATGGCCTCTTCTCGAGCTCCCAACCATTTCCTTTTGTAGAGAAACTTCCCAGCTTCACAACAAGCCTTCATTCACCCTTTTTCATCGAGCCAAATAAAAGTTGCATCCGTGCAAAGAAGGGTACCTGAAATACTTGCAACACTTAGGCAAAATTCATGGTTCTTGTTAGTGTTTGAGATGAATTTTCGATCAAGAAATTCAAGCTTGTTGGTTGACCCAAATTGGAACATATCATGGGTAAAGGATTGGAATGTGGGAAGGCTTCTCCTGCTTAGTTGGTTGTGGTTGGGGAGGAACCTGTGGTTAATGGAGATACATTTAATAAGGGCAAGGCAGTAGCAAGCACAGAGGTTGTTTCATTGGTTTCATATGGTTCTGGGGGTTCTGGGGTTTTGGAATAAGGTTCTCAGATGATTCAAGGGGTTGTGGGGGAAGTTGTTGTTGCCAACTGCTCTACACCTTTGAGAAATGATATGATAGATGCATATGGGTTTCAACTAGTGGTTCGTAAGGGTAAAGATACTTCTGCAGGTCGAGATCAAAGCAGCAATGCAAGGACCCCGACTTCGGCTGTTAGTTCTCGGGTGCCACTGAATCCAAAGAGTATTGAGCTTGTGATTCCTACTTCTCCCAAGAAGGGTGGGGAGAATAGGAATAGAGGTAAATGATGTTTCTTTGCTGGAATCTCAGGGGTTTCAATGCCCCTGAGAAACATAGATACGTAAATAAACAAGTAGCGAAGTTACAAGTAGAGTTTTTTTTCTATTTTGGAAAATAGAGTACTAAAGAATAATGTTGATGATATAAGGAATACACATTTTAGTACTCGGAAGCAATTAGATAATTATAAACATTCTCCTTCTGGTCGGGTTTGGTTGTTCTGGAAACCTCACTTGACAGTTAGTGAAGTTGGAATGGGAGAGCATTTTATTAGTGTTCGTGTTCAGTCTGGTACAAAATCATGCCTAGTCACTGCACTTTATAGCCCAAATAAAGTGCAGGACAGAGCAAAGTTGTATGATGAGTTGAGAATGTTTGGAGTGGCTAGAGAGCTTGGAGTCTTGATTGGGGATTTTAATGCTCTTGTTGAAGATAGTGAAGCCTCTAATTGTCCTGGTTTTAATCAAAGTATGGAGGATTTTCGTCGTTGGATTTAGGATATGCAGCTCACAGATCATAACCCATCGGGTTCATGCTTTACTTGGTGGAACAAACAGGCCAGTAATCCAATTGTACGATGAATTGATAGGGCCTTGGTTACTGAGAAGTGGTTGGATATATTTCTAAATAGTTTGGTGCAGACTGTTGCCCCTGGAGTGTCAGATCATTGTGGATTGTTTATATAGACTGACTCTAGGCTTACTTCTTTACCAAAACCTTTTAAGCTCTTCTGATTTTGGAGATAGTACCCTCAATATGAAGAACTTTTGAAAGATCCTTGGCAGCTGGAGGCTACTGGGGATCCTTATCGGATACTATATAGAAAACTGGGGGAGCTTAAGAGAAGGCTCAAGAGCCTGAATAAAGTTGTCTATTCTGATCTATTAGTTAGAACAAGAGAAGCAGAACCAGTGTTGGAAGTTTTGCAGAGTAATTTGCTATCTGATCCCTCTGAAGTTAACTCACAGGTTGTGCTTGAGCAGGAGAGAGTATGTAGGGATCTCTAGAGTGTTGAAGAGTCCTTTTATAGGCAAAAGTTGAGGGTCCAATGGATCACTCAAGGGGATGCTAATACTGGGTTTTTTCATGGTATGTTCAAGGCTAGGAATCACAAGCTGACCATTCGAAAATTGATAAATGATAATGGGGAAGCAGTAACTGATGTGACGACAATGAGTAAGGTAGCAGTAGATTTCTACAATGGGCTACCGGGACATGTAGATACCTCTGTTCAACAGTTCCCTAATGTGTTCTTTGAGGAACTACTGTGTATGAAGCTAACTACCGAAGATGTTGATATGCTGATCACTCCAGTCACTAGAGAAGAAATTAAAAAGATCTTATTTGGTATTAGTAATGACAAAGCACCAGGCCTAGATGGATACATAGCTGAATTCTTTAAGATGGCCTGGGAGGTTGTGGGGACTGAGGTGGAGAACACTGTGTTGGAGTTCTTCAAAACTGGAGTTATGCCTAGACAGGTAAATTTGACAGTTATTTCTCTAATTCCCAAACTTCCTGTTGTAGAACGAATGAAAGATTTCTGACCTATATCATGTTGCAATGTGATCTATAAGGGTATTTCCAAGCTGTTGCCTAATCGATTGTCATTGGTCTTACCACTCCTAATTAGCATATGTCAATATGCTTTTGTGAAAGGTCGTTTAATCATTGATAATATACTAATGGCTAAAGAGCTAGTGCAGGACTATCATAGGAGTAGAATCTCTCCTAGGTGTGCCCTCAAGATTGATCTAATGAAAGCCTTCAATTTGATTGATTGGCTATTTCGAGGAAGTGGGGAATTGGGTTGGGAAGTGGAAGAAGAAGAAGGAAGGGAAGGACTGCGCGGCAGCCGAGTGGGAAAAAGGGAAGAGAGGGAGTCGGCAGAGAGAGTGGGAGAGGGATTTACGAGATTAGATTTAGGTTTCATCTTACTTATTGGTAAATCCCACGTACAAGAATATTTATATAAAGGCAGAATTCCCGAATGATACCCCAAACAACTAATCCCCTACAATTAACCCGAAATAGTCCCAATAATCCGAAATGACAATAAACCGACTGTTATAAACGCGCTGCTACAGCTCGGGAAATCGCCGGAATCGATAAAGCAAGAATACGAAAGCGAGAATCGAAAAACACAGACACACGATTTACGTGGTTCACTAACACGATGTGTGTTAGCTAGCCACGGGCGAGAGAGAGCTAGTTTCACTATATCGAGGAGATTACAGATTATAGAGGAGTATGCGAAGTATTTATAGTACTTCTCCATGTGGGTCTAAACCTAATCCAGTCGTGACGGTTGATAGTTCGATTCAAGTCACATCAACACCGACAATAATTCACAAATAATCAAACTACCAAAGTACCGAGTTTCTATCAACTTGCCAATCAGAATTAATCATGCTTGTTATTTTCTAATTAGACGGGAATAGAAGAATGACAAAAGAAAGTAAAAAGACCAGCTTAACAATCGTTGTGCTTGCATCCAGTGTAAGACTTTACTCACAACCCTGGATCAATCTAGATGATGCCCATCCGCTGTTGTACCATAATGTATCATTTTTGTAACCCTGGATCGACCTAGATGATGGCCAATTGGCCATTCACTGTTGTATCGTAGTCTATTACTTTTCCTCTCTCAGTTTTGCTCAAGGTTAGGGTAAATCCATGTTCTTATGTATATCATAAATCCTTGTTCCCTTCCTGTTGAAGGGAATAAATTCTGGTACAAGTTATGTAAGCATTACCCTTATTGTATCATATTTACAATACAAGCAAATTATCCCTTCAGTTTAGACTTACTGTATCATATTCCACGATCATACAATTATTTCTATCTCCAGTTTAGACTTTATTAGACACATCAACTGGTAGTTCGTCACACGACACGAGAGATCGTGTGTTTGATCTATCATTATGTTATTGTACAACTTTACAACTTGAAGTTGTACCATCACATAATGGTACAAGTTCAAGTTGTACCATAAAAATTTGTGAAAAAAAATAGGTACAATCTGAAGTTGTACCATAACGTAAATGTACAATTTTAATTTGTACCATAAAGGCAAAACCTATAGCACCAATACTATATAGCATTGTAAGATTTCTCGTCCTGACATGGACTAACTGAATGATAGCAGATCACAGAGCTGAAGCTATCCGTGGATAGCCTTGAGAAGGAAAGGGATTACTACTTCGCCAAGTTGAGAGATGTGGAGCTTTTCTGCCAGAGCCCTGGTCTCGAAGGACTTCCTGTGAGAGAGAAACCTATTTTTTCCCCCCAATCTCTCTCTCTCTCTCTCTGTGATGATTGTATTTCAGAACCCATTTTCAATTTTCTAATCCATGTCTGCCTGCCTACCTTGCATATGCAGGTTATTGCTGCAATTCAGCAGATACTGTATGCTGCAGACAACGACGGGTCCGCGTGGCGAGGCTCGGGCTATGATCTCCTTGAACTGTCAGGAGGAGAATGAGGAACAGAGCCCTTGAGTCCCATCCCAGAGGTGTTATCGTCAGAGGAGAAGATGGTGAACCCAGATTCCCAGAAGAGGAGAGCATTAGAACCTGGATGTGGAGGCTGCTGGCATCAATAACTTGTCTCCTAGGCAAAGGTTCCCAGATGCTACCGATGTCCATTGCAGTGGGTCACCTCTTATGACCTACTAATCTGTGATTCGCTCTGCAGCTAGGGTGTAGCGATTCGGCTTTTCCATTTCCTTTTGGCTGTGTTTGTCTTTATGGTTTAGAGGATCTTCTTCTTCTTCTTCTTCTATCTCGGTTGTTACTAGGACTACAACAGCTACATAATGTAGGTTTTTGATCAACCAGAAGTGATATGCTTATATCAACCAGAAAAATTGAGTGGACCAAGATATGTTTGTTGTGGTGACAAGTGGATTGGTTTGCATGATAGCAGCAGGATGGGGGGGAGAACCACAAGCAGCGCCCTCGCCTCATCTTCAGCCCAAGTTTTCCGGTCAAAGAGTGGTCTCTAAGTCTCGAACTTATTCCTAACCCTCCTCAGAAACAGAGAAATAATTGTGAAAAAGAAAAGGAAAGACAAAGAAGTCTCAATCAATAAAAATTCAACCCATTTCATCACCATGAGTTCCAACACAATGAAGGTACGAACAAATCAGGCTACTTTAGATCATGGAATATGATTTACACTATTGGTTTGGTTATAGATAAATAGTAACGAATTTTAGACGCAGGCGGAAACAAAGACGAGCACGGTGGATTACCGGTCGTCGGCTGGGCAAGGACAAGGACAAGAGCAGAGGAAAGTGGAGGTGACCCATCAGCCAAAATCCAAAACGAGTGGCGGCGTTTTGGCCTCCGCCGCGGATTCTGTTGCGGGCACGCTCCAATCTGCTAAGGAAGCCATCGCCGGAACAACAACGACAACATCTTCTCCTGACCAATCCAAATAAAAAATATGTATTTTTAAATTTGGTCTAAATTGATATGGTTGTTTACTTTAGTACCGCTCTGCAACTTTTTCTTTTTAATTTGACAAGAAAACAATAGGCTGTGGTTCCAAGCCGAATAATGAGGTTCCATTTTTTCGACTTTGTGCCATAAATTCTTTGTTTTATTTAGGATTCACAAAAATTTGTTATATTTTGAAATTGTCCATAGTTTCATTTTGCCTCCCTTTCCATCTGAGGTAGCCAAATTGCTAACTCTTCTAGAAAATGTGAAAACCCAAGATGTGTTCGAGTTCAGACGATTTTTATATTTATTATTTTTTTGATGAAAAAGAAGGTCGATGTTGGATGGCATCTCGTAACAATATGATTAATGTCCACCATAGACCTATTCTCAATCTTATGTTTTTCTCGATCTAATAATTAATTGGTTTACTAAGAGAATGTACAACGCGCCAAATTAGTTATTTGCGATCTTGTTGATTGGGTTTTGATCAGTTAAGTACATTAAGACTAGGGGTGGGCAACGAGAAACAGGTATTTGGGTATACCCGTACCCGTCCCGTTTTTTAAGGGTTACGGGTACCCATATTACCCGTAATATTATAAACGGATGGGACTTGGGATTGTACATTCCTAATATGGGTACCCGCGGGTTACCCGCAAATACCCATTTGGGTAATGTGGATACCCGTTATACCCATTTACTACAAAACAGAAATAGCCCACAGCTCAACACCCCAGCCCAATTCACTAATTCAGTTATTCAGAAATGTGGCATTGGGCCTTGGCCTGGCCATTTCGCCCTTGCCCTTACCCTATTACCTTTCGGCTTTCACTTTCTCATTCTTAGACACTCAACGTCAGGCAGCGAGACAGACCACCCAGCGCCCGCCTCAGCGACAGGCCGACAGCGAGTCAGCGACCACTGTCACATGTGGCAGATGACATGGCGCGAACAAGGTGACAACATGGCGGCTGCACATGTGGCGTGTATGGAAGACTAGTAGCATAGAGATGCTCCTAGAATTCTCCACCTAAATGAGAGCTTAATGGTGCACTTATGGGTCACATAATGGTGACATTTATAGAGTGCATTATGGGGGGACTTTATGGGGTGTATTGATGTAGAGGGACCATTATGAGGGGCATTGATGCCTTGTATGAGGAGAGGCCTATATAAGGAGCCATCTCCCTCACTTGTAACTCATTCCATCATTTTTTAGAGTAATACATACTAGAGAGTTCTCCCAATTCCTTTGTCTTTGTTCTTGTTTCTTTGCTTGCAAGTGAGTTGAGAGAAAGGCTGCCTAGCGCTCTAACGGAATTGAGAGCTAGGGCCGCACGATCGAGAGTAAGGTCGTGACAAGTGGTATCAGAGTCCGGTTTGGCTTTGTGCTAGCAAAGAAGAAGCTATAGCCAAACGAAGAGGAAGAGCCTCACCAAAAATGTCGGGATCAGATAACGTCGTTACTGAGGCTGAGAAGCAACGTGGAAGGGATCACACGAAAAATCCCAAGCCAAAGGGTGACAAGTCAAGCACTCGTGATCCTATGGTGGCTCTAGAGAGGCGTGTCTCTCGAGTGGAAGTGAAGGTGGCGGAAGATATCACTACCATCGAGGATTTGGGAGCTAACTTTGCCCAAGTCCAAAGCGATGTTCAAGGTATGAATGCTCGTTTGTCGAGCTTGGAGATTGGTCATGATGGCATACGAGAAGAGCTTGTGGCCCTCATCAACAACACCATCAACGCATCCATGAACAATGCCATTGAAGTTGTGAAACAGTTTGTAATTAGCGGCTATTAAGCTCGACCACATACAAATGAGTCACAAATATTAGAAACAGGTAAACTAGAACTGTAAATAGCAGCACCTCCTCCTTCACGAGTTATGCAAAATTTACCCTATAACACCTGTCTCCACTTTACAACTGACTTTTTTTTGGCATATTTACTCTCAAACTTGTTGAATTGAAAAATGTTGCAGGATACCTGCTCCTATGCATTGACATCAATTCTGAATTGAAACCAAGGCCTTAATCTACGAAGCTTCCTCTATAACTAACTAAGAAAAAAAAGCCTCTTTAATTTTCCAAATGCTCCATCCCTTCCGTCGGTATTTGTCAATCTAGGTGACCCAAAAACTATCTCATTGCATTAGTAATAATCTGATCAAACGTGGCGCACATGCTATATTACGTGTGATAAGGTTTTCAAGACAAAGCCCTTCTTCCTTCTTTGATGTAGCAATAAGGTACCATGTTATCTTAACTTTACCAGTGCCCACTCCAAATCAAAGAAAATCAAACAAAACTTTTGTCTTTGATGAATAATCTTCTTTGATAGTAGAAAGATCGACATCCAATATTAAATAAGAGAACAGAGCACCAAAGACATCAGTTGTATTTTTTTGACAACAAAGACATCAGTTGTAACTTCTAGCATACGTGAACAGTTCAAATTTGGTTACTCTCCGTTAGTCTTCGTTAACTTTAATTGATGTGACAGTCAACTCTGAGAGTTGACCGTTAAATAAGTGACATGGCAATTAAAAAATAAAAAGTAAATACAATTTAATCTTTCAAAAATTCCACCTCATTATCACAATAAAATAAATTAAGAAATAAATAGTAATAAAAATTGCAATAACAAAAAATTTAGTTCTGGAAAACAAAATTTATTCCCAGAGTTTGAGGAAGATGCGAGGAGGTTGGGAGCAAGAGAGGGGAATTGAGGAGAGAACAACAGTCTAATGAGCTTCAGCTCAAAGTCGAACGACGGTCCGAGATCTCGATGCGAAGGAGAAATGGCTGTTTGAGCAATTGGAAGAGTTAAAAAAGGAGAAAGTGAAGCTCGATTCTCACTCAAGTCAACTGAGAGTGAAAGAGAAATTCATCAAAAAAAAAAAAAAAAAAAAAATGAGAGTGAAAGAGAAGGAGAGAATTGAGAAAGATGAGGGGTCTAGAAAATTGGAATTGGAAGATCAACAAAGGTTGCATTTTTTTGTTATTGGAAATATTATTGTAATTATTTATTTTTTAATTTATTGTGATAATGAGTTGAAAATTTTAAAAAATTAAATTATAAATTCTTATTATTTTTTTAATTAAAAGTCACTTATTTAATGGTCAACTCTCAGAGTTGATTGTCACGTAAGATAAAGTTAACAGTGACTAACGGAGAATGACAAAACTTGAACTGTTGAACTAATTTAAGTGACTATGGATGGAATAAATTAACTTTAGTGGTAAATATGAACTTTTTAAGTAATTTCAGTGACCAAACTTGAAATTTACCCTACATATAATATATGGTTCATGCATACACTAACTTTATCCTACTTTTATCAAGGTTTGTTATTTACAACTTGAATTAACCAGATTTTGGGCATAATATTATACATAGCCACCAAACAACTAAGGAAATATTTTCCTCACTATATGGGAGAATCATAGTAAAATTTGACGATATAGTGGCTATGACTGAAAATGCACCTGTCATCTTGGTAATTTCATCATTTATGTTGAAAAATATAGAGCACACAATGACATAAGAAGTTCAGCCCGTCATCGGCCACGAAAATATATGACAACATGGATATTCCATAAACACAAGTAAGAAACAACCTTAAAAAAACAAAACAATCCTAATAGAAACCCAGAGATCAAATGGCCTATATATTAGTTGAGGAGGAAGCACCATATGAGTTTAGAAAAGTTACTATGCAACAACTGCAGGCTCTTAGTTAGAAGATCGAGAATAAAGTATGTGTTCCTTCCTATTGCTTAGATTTACAATGCCACCACACCAAGGTTGAGTTTTGGTATCCACCCCTTTCAGTAGTGGATCGACTTTGGTCTTTGCCCTGCCCCACAATAATAAACTGGCTTGAATCTCCCTCCAGCTTGTTAGTAGTTCCGGCGATCTCTGTCATCTAAAAAAATGTATCGTCGTCTCCTCGATCTCTGTCTCCAACACTCTCCAAAGTAGTTCCGGCGACTTTCGTCGTCATAAATCCCATGTTCAGGCTCAACCTAACGCCTCATAGAAATCCCTTGTCGTTTCCCCTAACATTTATACTATAAAATAGAGGCAACGGAAGTAGTCGTCCTCACTGTCCCTCTCCCTCTCCCTCCATTGAACAGCACCGCCTCCAAATTACCATAGATGTAGCCTTGATATTATATATGGTACTGATAGACTGTCAGGAACTGGTAGGAAAGAATCGGATTGAAGGTGTGATTAATCACTCTCCTTAGAGTGTTATTTGCCCACACTACAAATTGCTGGTAGGCTCGAGCAAACCACCCCCAGGAGTCCCTTCAATTCTAAGTCTGGAAGCAGCAATCTTGCAGACTTCTGTGTTTGTGAAATAGAGAAGGAAAACGGAAGAAGAAGTAATCTCTCATCATTAAAAGAGTTATGGCAATCACATGTTTATAGTTGTGAAATTTGGAAGTTACTTTACCGAAGAGTCACATCCCTTCATAGAAAAGGTAGTTACCTTTATTGAAGGACATATACTTTCACAGAAAAAAGGGAGTTACCTTTATGGAAAGACACTTCTTTTCACAAAATTTAAACGTTTAATTAATTAATTAAACTGCCAAAAGACTCCATCTTTATACTTTACTTCTCCCATCAATGTCGTATTACAACTCTATTGACTAACTCTAACAATCCCCCACTTAGTCAACAAGAGTTGAGAATACCTGCCTCGAACAAATAACGCATACATAAAGGTATCTTTTCGATTTGAACCTTTACCTAGTGTAAGCAACTCAAAGTTGATAACGAATCAGTGATGGGCTTAAGCCTAGGAGTCACGATCCAAAGCTATAACCGGAGATGCCACACACGTACTTGTCTCTTCTCTAAACCACAACCACCAACTAGGGTAGCACTATTATGGCCATGTGCTAATCCTGTTTCATGAGCATACACAAAAGTTGACCTCTACTTTTGTTAGAGCGGCACCACTCTAAATGCTCACATAGGTGACATTCCAAATGAATTCATTAAGAGTTCTATAACTCATCTCAAGAGTCTATAACTCATCCTTCTTTGGACTAATTTACTTGTACAATAAATTAGTGCCTCTGTTAGAGTAACTTGTTATTACCACATTGAACCTTTTTAATTAGTGAATACCTAAAGAAAAGGTTGGGTTCCCGTTACTTCTAACTACACAAGAGGTCTCAATCCCTTCCCTTAGGATGTCTCATAGATCA